ATCGCAATTATGGAATTTCAATTATGAGTACAAGCAATTAAGGTTTCATCAATTTTATTTTTCATTATTTACTATTTTTTAAAAAAATATATATAGTAGTATTAATTTTTCTATTTAAAATATTATACAAGCACATGCTTATTCTATATTTTGTAATTGAATAAAATTTTGTTTTTTTTTTTTAAATAATCTAAAATACTAAATGTGTCTTTAGTTTATATTTCTAATTAAAATCAATAATATTCAGTATGCATGATTTATAATAAAATATAATATCAAATTATTATTTAAAATTTTTAATTTAACTGATAAACTCAAACTCAAATTAACAAAAAATATATATATATAATATAATTTGTCTCTATTTTCTATTTTCGTCCGTCTATATAATTTGTCATTTCGTTTTTTGAAATACAAGTATACACTTTAATCACATTTTAAAATTTATAATTCATATTTTTTATTTTAATTAAATTATTTTGTAATCTTAACCTTAATCTAAACTATTTTTATTAAATCATAATTATGTTCACTAATATATTTCTTAATTACTCACTAATTACAAAATACCTAAAACTTCGTATTTAAATTAAATGGAACAAATTAGTTGGGACGGAGAGAGTATTTATTTATATATTTAATTTTGTTTTTGTTTATTTTATTAATGTGTAAACATCTCGTTTATTATTTATAAAAAAAAGAAATTATTTTTTAGATATTTATATTTTATTTTTATAATTAATATTTATATTAAATATTTTATGTTATTTGTAAATTTAAACAAATATATATAATAATATAAAAATAAAATATATGAAGAATATTGTTTGATTTTGAAAAATAAAAGGTTTGATTGAATATGAATAATTTAAAAACCGGTAAAAATTAAGAAATGTAAAATTAATCTTACAAAAATAGAGTCATGACCGGATGTTCTTAGTGTTTGTTTTTTTATTTTAAATCTACTATTCATTCAATTTTTTTCTCCCAAAAATATCAAATCAAACACTTATTTTTCATTTTTTATATTATACTTAAAATCAATTTTACATTCAAAATATCACATCAACACCTATTTATACCACATCATACAACTATTTTAATTTAAAATTTTTACTATTCAAATCCCAACTCAAAATCTAAACCCCAAACAAACACATATAGGAAATTTTACAATTAAAAATATTTATTTTTATATTTTTGTAAATTTGTATTTTATATAATTCGATTCTTTACGCAGTTATATAAATATCAATATGTTTTTATTTAAATTTCATTTTAAATAAATATATATTTTAAAAATTAAAGGAAAAAAAAGTATAAAATGGAATACCGATAATATAATATACAATTAGAGGTGAATATAGAAATTTTTTTTCCTGACGGCACAATAAATAATTAAAAATAAAATATATTAAAATATTACTATTAATATTAAAAAAAACTATTATTGATAATATATAAATAATAATATAAATACCTTTTTTATATATTTATATTTTTTGAATATAAATTTGTTATTTTAATTATTTTGGATAACGATGATATTTTAAATTTCAAATTTTAAATAATCCACTCAATATTTTTGGACAATTGTAACATTTTAAATTTTAACTAGGGCACTAAATATTTAGTGGTAACACACTTAATAAATTATAAAAATATTTTACTAGTAGAATAAAATCACTGGTGGCATATGTCACCACTCTTCTACACTTACATCCGCCCCTATATACAATGATATTTTATAATTTTATTTAAATAACATTTTAATATACTATCATTTTTTTAAAAAAATAAATGAATACTATAATTTCTATTGATTATTATATAGAATAAAAAATACTTTTTCCATCTCAAATAGTATTTCCGCATAGCAGATACAAGAGGTTAAATAAAGTATAATTAATATATAATTAAAAAGTATATTTTTGATAAAAAAAAATATAGATTAATATTAAAATATATAATTATATTTTTTTAGAAAACAAAAAAACAAATTACATGGGACTGGCCAAAATTATAAAGAGTATGTTTGGTAAACAACTTTTCGAAGAATTTTTAACTTATCTTTTAGTTGTTTGACCAATAAATCAAATAATTTTGATGTTTGATAAATTAGTTTTTCAATTTGCTTATTGGATCTAAAAAATTAATTTAAAAAAAAAAAATTGTATATCCGAGGATTTCATATTAGTTTTATTCATTTTAATTTTTTTATTCTTTATTTACCCTTAAAATTAATTAATTCTTTCACCTATATTAATATATCTTTTTATCTTTTTATTATCTTCTAATAACTTATAAATTCAAATTTATAAATTTAAAATAATTATTTTTTCAATGTCAATATCATTTTTATAATTTTTAGAATAAAAATAATATAAAATATTAATATTATTGATTCATTTATATAATATATATTAGTTAAAAACTTTTATCACATAATATGTTTATTAAAAATGAACATATATTTTTTAAAATTATAAATTTAGTGTAAATATATATTAGTTAAAATTTAATCTATAAAAATACATATACTAATGATTTTTGTTCTTTTATATATATTATTCTAATAAATATATATAATTTTCAATAAATTTTCATTAATTCTTTATAAAATATTATAAAAATAATAAAAATAAACATCTTAATAAATTTTTTCTAATTTTTAAAATTTAATAATAAAATTTCAAAAAAGTCTACCCACCGAAAAAACTCAACTAAATATTTTGAAAATAAAATATAAAATATCTTTAATTGTCATTTTACGTAAAAATAACTAATATTAAACCGTTATTTTACTAAACACTTTAATACAAACAACTAATCGAATCATCTAGTCAAACCAGCTAATCGAACATGCTAACGGCTAATTGCCAAACACACCCAAAATATGGACATTTTATGTGGAATGGAAAGAATAATAATATGGGATTTAAGTGTGTTTGAAAGATTTTCAAAATTTTCACTATTCATACAAAAATTTTTTCCAAAAATATCAAATCATATATTTATTTTTCATTTTTTTTTTATTATACTAAAAATCAATTTTACATTTAAAATATTACATCAATATTTATTTATATCATATTATACAATTATTTCAATTTAATATTTTTATTATTAAGTCTTAATCCAAAATCCAAAGTCTGATACAAACGCACCCTAATACAATTTACTTTTAATTATTTGAATAGTTATTTATGATAAAGTAGTCTAAGGACATACTTAAAAAGCTTCCATGCCCATAATGCCTTTTTAGAACAAAAGAAGTTTTTTAAATTAAAATGGTGCCATATATTTATATTCTATATATATATATAATCTATAAATTATTATTATTATTATTATTATTATTATTTTTCTGTATAAAATGAGATATTCAAATCTTTAGATATTAATGCACACGTGTTCTTTTGAAGTTCTATTTTAGTTTATTTTTTAAAGAATAGTAGCTAATGTAATATTTTATTAAAAATAATAATTTAGTTTTTTAAAAATAATAATGATAATTGCATAATAAATAAATTGAAACAAAGCTAAAAATTAGCATAGTCTAAAATGCTAAAGAACTGAATTGTCGATGACTTGAATTTAATTTACTTTTAATATTTAATTATTAGTATTTTTATTCAACACTTATTTATAATTAATGCTACATTCTCTCTCTTAATTTATTTTAATTTTTAACTAAATTTTTAAAAATACTTATAACTATTTTTTTTATTACTTTTTAAATAAAATATTTATTTTTTAAATGAATTAATTTTAATGGACGGGAAGGAGTATAAGTCTTAGTGTTAATTCGTGAATCCTGGTCATTTCATAATATGATTAGTTTTAGTTAACAAACTTTTATTAAAGATTGTAATTGCATCTAATAGTACAAACAAATAAATCTTTAGATAGAAAATCCTTATTCATTCAACATTTTAAATAAACACTACTCCCTCCGTCTCACATACCGTGTCTGCTGCTAATTAGGAGGGGTGCAATTAGTAAATAATTAAGAATATATTAGTGAAAATAATTATCCTATAATATAAATAATTATAAATTAAGATTAATATAACTAATTAGTTTAATTAAAATTAAAAAAAATAAATTTTAAAAATTTAAAATGAGATTAAAGTGTGTAATCATTTTTCATAAAAGAAAGTGACATGGTACGTGGGACGGACAGAAACGGCAACGTGGACATGATATTGGAACGGAGGGAATATTAACTAACATTATCATGAGAGTTCGACCTCATTTATGGACATAACAAATTATGTTCAAGTTGTTTAGCTTATAACGGGCAAAATTCACGAACTCATTTATTGGTAAGAAAAATTCATGCAATAAAGCTTTAGCACATCTAAAATTAATATATATAACACATTTAAAATACAATAATAATAATAACTCATTTATCATAAATATTTATTTAAAAAAAAAAAAAGAAAAGAAAAGGGAGAACTAAGCAATACTTAAAGCATGTCTATGTGCATCATTTAAAGAAAAAACTGCCCAAATACAACAAACGACATTTTAATTTAATGTAACAATTAATATTCCATCAATATCCGCCCGATATAATCGCAGCCGTTGGATGCAGAATAATGGGCGCATCTGTGGCCGTTGAGGGGGCAGGCAGTGTTCATTAATGAGCGTCCCGACAGCAAGTACACCCTCGCTGCTGTGCTGTGCTGTGCTGTGCTCCGGCGCAGTGCACCGAATTAATTAATTTAATTTAATTATCGCAATAAATAAATGGGATGGATGATGGATGGGTCGTCTCGTGTCTCTATCTAACAATTTCCCATAAAAATTTAAAAAAAGAAAATTAAAAAAAGAGAGAGATCTTTGAAGAATTTAGTGCTGGTTTTGTTTAAAGAGACAATAAGGTACAAATTGAATGGCCCCCCATACCCCCTTACCCTACCCCACCCCACCCACCAACTATATATACCCCCTGGAGCTGTGTCCATTTTCATATCGATCAATTCGTAAAAGTGTATAATCATCGGACGGAATTAGGGATTTTGACTTAATTTTGACGAAAATTGGGGATTTTTGGATCGATTTGGGAATGCAGTACCAATCGGAGGCGCAGAGCTACTACTCGTCGGCGGCGGCGGCGGTCGGCGGAGGCGGAGGGGCGGCGACGGCGGATCCGTACGAGAGCGTGCTGCGGCTGGCGTCGGGCAGCGCGGTGGTGATATTCAGCGTGAGCACGTGCTGCATGTGCCACGCGGTCAAGAGGCTTTTCTGCGGGATGGGTGTGAACCCGACGGTTTACGAGCTGGACCAGGACCCCCGCGGCGACGAGATCGAGCTGGCGCTGTCGCGGATGCTCGGCGGCGGCTCCGCCGTGCCGGTGGTGTTTATCGGCGGGAAGCTCGTCGGCGCGATGGAGAGAGTCATGGCGTCGCATATCAACGGGACCTTGGTCCCGCTCCTCAAGGAAGCCGGAGCGCTCTGGCTTTAATTAATTAATTAATTTTATTAATATTAATATTTTGGAAAATTAATTTTATAATATATATATATATATAATCTTGCATGGTGGGCCTTTTGCTCCTCTGTAATATTTTCCATTTGGATAATTAATTAAATTTTGATGTGTTAGGGAGTTGGAAAAAAAACTAAAATTTTAAAAATTAATACGATGCTCTAGCAGCTCTACTCTGTCTCTATATATGTTCCTTTGTAAAAATTTAATTTCATTTTAATGTACTTATTGTTAATTTCTTTGCCTTAATTTTTCATGCATGCACATGCACATGCACGCACTATTTAAATTACAATAATAAAATTTATTAATTGATTAATAAGTTACCTATGGTAGTAGAGTATATAAAATTAAATAAAGCGCAGCCATTTGTGGGCTCCATTTTTTACTCTCTCTCTCTCTCTCTAGATATAGTATATAATTTTAATTGAAATTGGTATGTATAAGATGGATATTAATGAAGGCAGGCCTATTTCTATCAACTTATTGAGCAGCATTTTCTACTCCCATCAATAGTTGCAATAAATAATTTGGCTGCCAAACTTTGTGTTAAATTTTTATAGTTACTTTTAATATATGATAGGGTATATAATAAGTCTAAACTCCCTTATTAGTCTAAAATGATAACGTATGTTTCTTTACCTAAAATTTCTCAAATTTTACTATTTGAATTCTGTGTTTTTTAAAAAAATATATATTTTTTTCTCTAACAAAACATCCTATCAAATATTATTTTAATACCAAACTCAAACCAAATATGGGTTTACCAATACATATACTCCCTCCGTCTCATAACAAAGTATCCATTTTTCCATTTTAGTCCGTCTCATAACAAAGTATCCATTTCATTTTTTAGTAACTGTACTATCTACTTAACATTACAAATACCCTTACAACTTACAATATATTACACAAATGTCATTACCTTTATATCATACATACTAATAAGGTTATTTTAGTCATTTCTACTTTATTCATACTATATTCTAATATAATCTAATATTTTTAAAACTACGTACATAAAACAAATGAATATCTAGTTATGGACAGAGGGAGTAATTAAACTTTTTTTTTTGTTCAATAATAACAACTACACATTTAATTATGCTTGCTCTTCAATAATCTCTAAAATAATATATTCGCCGTTCCAAGCATCCTACAATATTTTTTTTCTTTTGTCTCAAACTCACTACAATATTTTCAAATTTAGAAATAATTAATAATATTTATATCTATATATAATTATACACTTCACTTTATCTCATCACATCACTCAAATAAAAAAAATAAATAATCATTTATCTCTCCAATCACATCACTTAATATCCAAATTATCTCAAATTATCATATTTAATATTCTCCACCTAAATTCTGATGCTAAACATATATGTTGTACAGTGTTTGAGACAGAGGGGATAATATTTTGAGAATTTTTTCAAAGTGAAGGTGTAAGAAGGGTGACCCTTTTAAATATATATACTTCATTTGTGCGGCAAAATTTATTTTTACTTTTCTTTTTTGTCCATCCGTTAAAGTTACTCCACTATTATATTTGAAATAGTAAAAAAAATCAATATTTAATTATTACACTTTATTCAACACTTATTTACAACATGGATTCAGTGCTCACCAATGCTGATAGTTGAAAACACATTATCATAATTACATTAATTATATTATTTAATGACAAAAATTATAATAATTACTTTTTTACTCCATTCAGCACAGTTTGTTTTAGCATCTTATTTATCATTTATAATAAATATCATTCACTTTATTATATTTTCTCTATATTCTATTTAATTTATAATTAAATTTTTAAAAATATCCATGAATACTTTTTATTTTTTCAATAAAATACTCGATTTTCTTAGTTTCGTGTCGAACCCAAATTGACTAAATTTCTCGGACGGAGGGAGTACTTTCGTAAATTTGAAATATCAATTTCTGATTCCAATGTGTGTTTTGTTAAATATTCCCTATTATTCAATATTCACTAGTATTTTTATAAAACATTGCATCTCTGCTATTATTTTAAAATGTCTGTTTTACATGATAATTTTTTTTTAAAAAATTAAATTTAACTAATTTGAGATTAATGAACTACACTCAAGTTGGCCACTTTTTTTTAGAGAGAGAGAGAGAGAAACATTTATTAATTCATTCACTGCATAGTATTGATACATCTAAATTTGATGAAGGGAGACTTCCCCATTACAAAGGCAACCCAATAATAGTAATCTCGTGACTTCTCTAAATAACCATGTCTAAATATACACACATATATATATATATATATATATATTATGGCTTGGAATTATGTACAAGTGAAGTACATGAACACTTGAGCAAGCCCTTTTGTTCATCTACTTTCAAATAATTTTTTTACTTTTACATCAAAAACATGGATTCATCTAAGAGTTAACAAAAAAGGGTTGTTCTCGAAGACATGGGATCGGTGCAAATCCTTTAATGGTACCATAGGAAAAAAGGGCATCCGAAACGATCCAAACATGACAAGCAAATCTTGGCCACAAGAAAGAACCCTAAAGAGCGAAGAACACATCGAAGGCTATGCTTTGACGAAGAAAAAACTAAGGGTTGCCCCCGAAGGATGCATTTCAATCTATGTTGGACCCAAAAGGGATAGCTTTTTTATCAAAACCGAGCTCATAAACCATCCCTTGTTCAAGGTATTGCTCGAGGAAGCCGAATCTGAGTATGGGTATAGTAGCGAAGGCCCTTTGGTACTTCCGTGCGAAGTTGATCATTTTATCAGTATTCTAATAAAAATGGATTGTTGCGATGAAGAGATGGCGGATAAACATTATAAAGGGTGTTATTTTGTCGCCGGGATTCAATCTTCTTACCACCTCCTTCATCGCCCAAGATTTGTCGCCTTCCATAGTTTACACTTTTGATCAAAAAATTGGTGTCATGGCCGCAATTGTTGTTCTATGGATGTGTCTACATGTATCCATGTAATTATCTAGAGAGGGTGCGTTCAGTGTTTTAGTTTAAATTTTTTTTTTATTATTATGATATAATATTTTGTGTTGAATATAATTTTATTTTATTTTATTGTGAAAATGTAATATATATTTCATCAATCCTAATAGAATGTACATTTTACTTATTCATATATTAACAAATATTATTATATTTTTAATCTAATAAGAATTTTTAAAATTGCACATTCGAGTCGGATGAAAAAGTATATTTTAATTTTAATTAATACTATTATTATATACTCTACAATTGTTCATAAAAGAAATAATTTTTTTTAAAAAAAATCTGGGGTGTGTTTATTTTATCTTATTTTTAATATTTTGGATAAATATATACTATTTTTCTCATAAAACTTCAAATAGAAAATACAATTTGAACCAAAACATAAATACAAAATTTAATTTCAAATTAAAACAAAATAAACCTTGTATTCACACCGTCCTGCCACAATAACCATTTCTCTCTCTCTTTTTTTTTTTTTTTTCTTATTTTTTGTCAATTTCATGATTTTTTTTCTATTTTTAATAAATTTATCAATTTTAAACACAATTAACAAATTAAATATATAATTTTTTACACATAGGACCACTCAAAATCTCTTTATTTATACTTCAATTAAAAAATATTTATTTACTTTTATAATTTTCAATATTTTTATAAAACTAATTTTTGGTAAATATAATTAAATAAATATTTTTTATTTATTTGTGTCGTATAAAATTTTTTTTTTACAAAATAATATTCATAATATTGTACACATATTTTAAATTTGTTTTAATAAATATATAATTGTTACGTACGAAATTTAGAATTAGGTTAAAAGCCCAAGGTAAAAAGAAGAATGGGCCTGGCAATAGAGTTGATTGAACTGACTGAAGGGTACCATGAGGAAATCAAGGAAAATAGGTTTATTACTAAGGAAAGTCCTCAAGACGGAAGGACCTCAGGTCGGAAGGTCTTCAGGTCGGTAGGTCCTCAAGACGGAAAGTCATTAGGACGGAAGGACCTCAGGTCGGTAGGTCCTCAAGACGGAAGGACCTCAGGTCGGAAGGACTTCAGGTCGGTAGGTCTTCAAGACGGAAAGACCTCAAGTCGGAAGGTTTCCAGGTCGGGAAGTCCTCAAGGCGGAAAGACCTCAAGTCGGAAGGTTTTCAGGTCGGGAGGTCCGCAAGACGGAAAGACCTCAAGTCGGAAGGTTTTCAGGTCGGGAGGTCCTCAAGACGGAAAGACCTCAAGTCGGAAGGTTTTCAGGTCGGGAAGTCCTCAAGACGGAAAGACCTCAAGTCGGAAGGTTTTCAGGTCGGGAATTCTTCAAGGCGGAAAGACCTCAAGTCGGAAGGTTTTCAGGTCGGGAAGTCCTCAAGGCGGAAAGACCTCAAGTCAGATGGTTCGCAAGTCGGGAGGATTGGCGGTCGGACCCATACTATTGTAGATTGGTAGTCGGGCCAAAAGAGCGGAAGGTCTGTGGTCGGCTCAAAGAGTGAAATGTAGGGATAATTTTGGTCTGCTGAGGACGCGTGTCAGCATGAGAAGGGTTGGAAGACGGTTTGGAAGGAGACGTTGTAACCGTTCGGATGACGGTTTTCGGTACGGTTTCCCAGAGAATATTTAAAGGCTTGGATAATCATTTGGCAAGGTATCTTCAATCAACTTCAACAAAGCAAAGTCAGATTTGGGGATCACCACTTTAAATTTCAGTCTTTTATTTTCCAGTTTATTTTCTGTACGTTACAGTGTTTAGAGATTCCTAATCTCAGGCACTAATTAATCAAGTTTAAGGATATTTTTCATATCTTTGAATTTTACTTTATTTTTGTTGAAAAATTACATCAACAAATTGGCGACCACAGTGGGAACAAGACAAAATTGCTCATTCCAATTCCGGCGATAATTACATACGTCTAAGATCCGGCCGTATCATCGGAAGGGTCCATATGGCAGGTTCACAACCTCAATCATCGTCGGCACCGGTGGGAGAATCCGTTCCACCACCTAATGTGCCAAATGCCGGGGAAATCCCACAACCACCAACAGATTGGTGGTCTTATGTTCAACAAATGTTGCGTGAGCAACAAACGAACATGTTGCGTGAACAACAGAGTATGATGCAGACCATGATAGATCAAGCACTGTCTAGGGTTAGTCTTCAACCCACTCAAACTCCACCAGGAGTATCACCGTCCAGACTACAGACAAATTTCGCAGGGCCATCATTCGTGGATAGTG